TTGAGGGCCCCTCCGGGGGGGTGCGTGTGCGTCTTCGGGCTCCACGCATCGCAAAACCGTACGTAACAATACCAATAATAATAGCAGTTATAATAATCGCAATATTAAAAGCAATATTACAGGTACTAACTACAAAAACAACAACAACAGTAGTAATAATAACAATCTTAATAAAAGGGCAATACCAGTTACGAGTAAGAACAATAAAAATAACAAAAACAGCAACACAAATAACAACAACAGTAGCAATACGAATAATACAACTACTAATTACCAATAATAGTAACAACACGAATTTATGATAGTACAAGTACGACTATCAATAACAACAGGAACAAACAACGGAGCTAAGAATAACACTAGTGATAACAGTAGAAATACTACGAGTAACAATAACGACAATAATAACAATGTTAATGATGATAGCAATGATAACAATACTGATAAGAATAACAACATTAAGAACAATCATCATGATAATAGTAGTATCTATAAAAACAATGGTTGTGGCATTATTAGTGTTACTATTGCTATTCTTAGCTTCGTGATTTGTATTGTCGCTAGCCTCGTTCGACTTCTGGGCCAGGCGCGTGTTCTGCAAGCCAAGCGGGTTGCCTTCGTACCACCATGATTCCCCTTATCTTACTGGTGGTTAGTGGGGACTATGGGAATGTATGACAAAATCTACGGTTTAGGGTTAGTAAGGAATATATTATAGAGGGATGATATGGGGATGATATTCCCATATTAGCCCATATTTCCTACTCACAACCAGTAAGGTTACCCCTTTTTCAACTCCCCAGAAGCGTTTTTGAGTTCGCACGAGCCTTCAAGCAGATCAAGATCTGCATGCCGTTGACAAGCTCTGTTGCTGTGGCTACCAGGACCCAAAAGTATGTAGAACAATCGTCTGTTGGGCTCTTTTTTCCGGGGATTGGGCAACTGTTCTACGTACTTTTGGGGCCCAGCCCTTTCTACTGCAAGGTGGCCTGAGTTCCTCCACAGTTACTGCACTTCACAAGCAGCGCGGGAACGAGCTGCATTGAGGATGGACAAGTGAAGCCCATCACTCGATGAAGACCGAAAGCTCCCACCCAAGATTTCAACATGCGCCAGTGCCATGCACTGGCAGGATCATAGAAGAGGTCCACGTGCATCAAGGTGAAGGCGTTTTCTCTGCCCTGAGGTTACAGGTAGAATCCCTAGACAACTCGGACCTTTTAGCGGTCATATTATCCCACACGCTACGCGGAGAGACCTTGCTGGCACTCTCTCTCAGGGAGCTTCCCATATTCTTTTTGGCCATGGTCGCTGCTGCTAGTGATTATTGCGGCGCTGCCCTGCCAATTCATTGCCTTCGGAAACTATATAAACCAAACGCAGACACCTGCACAACGGTCTTGCGTTTAAGAGCATATGCTGCTGTGCTGTTGCATCGAGGGGGCCCGCATTCTAGATCACCGGGTGAACTGTCAATCATAAACCATTCACTGACGTAATCCTCTGGTGACAAGGCCTTGAGCCCTCAGCCCTCAAGCAGCTTCCATTTTCTTGTCCTTTTCCCTGTACATGTATATATGAACCCCTGACCCTAAGAAGAGCTGCCAAGTTGCCCAGGACGATGGTCCAGTCCCCCGTCTTCACAGCGTCGCTGGCGCCCAGAGCCATGGAGGGCAGCGGAAGCTGCGCCTTATCCTGTCGGAGGGTTTGTAGAGTTTGGGAATGGCATTCTACGGGCTTTTGAAGTTGGGGCTTGAAGTTGAGCATGCCGAGGGCTTGCAGGGTTTAAATGGATTTAGGGCCGGAGCGGAGGTTTACGGACACATCTGCGCAAGCTAGGGTCTGGCGGCTGGACTGTAACTCTAGACGTCTAGGCAAGCTTCATGGCCTACGGCCTACGGCTCGTTGCTACTTAGCTCTGAGGAGCATCGTTCATCTTGCCACCTACCTGCTGGTTTCAGGAGAGCCTGTGGTATTTGTACACTTGTAGCCTTGCAATGTCGGCAGTGCTGCATATGAGCAGTTCCTGATTCTGCAGCTACTTGCTGAGTACCGATTCTGGAGACTTCAAATGAGCTGCAGATGATATCCAAGACCATGCAAGGTGCTTTTTTAAGGTGTGCCTCCAAATAGTTACGTAAAGGACCCCACATGTGCAAGCTCTTACAACTGTGACCTCATATCTTCAAATTTTGAAGGACTCTTTATGATGTCCCCTTCATGGACCTGATGCAGGATGCAGGAGTTCCGCGCAGCTTTATACAGGTCCTTCTATTCTACCCAGCAGGAGAGGTCCTTGACTCGCAAGGCTGCCAGGTCGATCACCTTCGGTTTGCAGGCTAGGGTCGTCCTAATGGGGGTTGAGGTTTACATTCCAGGCAAACTAGCATGGAACCCCAAATAGCGATCTTTCGAAGGGGCACTAGTCTATGTAGCCCCCTGTGGGGTTTCTATGTTAGTTGAAGGAGTGGAAAGAAACATTGCGGAGCTTACCCTACCTGTGAAACCAGCCAGGCATGTTCAGACAGCTTCAGATTCCTGAGAGCCTGTAGCCATGCCTACACACCAAATATACTAGCCCTGGCGGCAACTAGCCGCAAACAATTCTTCTTTACCTGCGGAAGACTCTTGAAATCTGACTCCAAAGCAATTGCCCCCCACTGGCAAAACACTCTTGACTGCATGCATACAACTTCATGCAACCCTACCTGAAAGTTGGGACACGCCTCATCTGTTTCGAGCAGTTCGCATTCAATTGCTGCCTGCAAGACACAGCCGCAAGACCGTTGGGAACGTAAGGCAGCTTTCGTGACTGGAGTTCGTAGGTTTTTTAAGCTAGAACCTCTGTCCTGGACTATTGACAGTTGTTGCCTATGTATTGCACCAGCTTTTCAAAGTGTAGGCAAACGTGTGCGGAGGGTGGTCTCAAATGAGGTTGGGGACTGATGATAACTGCAAGGAAGCGATCTATTCGATTCATCAGACCTGCAGACTTTTGCTGTCGGAGAGGCCCTGAATATGGGGACCTTCTCGAACCCATGGGTGTCCGAGGCAGTTGTCCCATCTCTACGAGAAGGTTTCAGCTGTGATACATACATATTTGTGGAAATATCTATCATCAGTGGGTGGAGGTGTTACTAGGGGAGGTGGTTGCAACCTAATTGTGGCTGCTTAGGTGGACCCCAGCTTCATGAACAGATCCTTACCTGGTGCCTGCAAGATGAAGGAATATATCCCTAAAATAATCCCCGTATACAACAAACCAGTGCCCCTATTGCCCACTTAACATCCTAAACCCTAAGCCCTACATGCTACAGTAGTTGACCCAATAGTTTCCATTTGTTTTCCATCTCTTCATTTTTTTTGGTTAGGGGAGTTCACGAGCTCGGCACACGCTTGCCAGGAAAGCTCGCCAGGATCCTCGCAGCAAAAAATGCCAAAAGAGTCACACAACAACTTTTGTGGCAAGTATAGGGTAAGGGCTACATTGGGGTTACATTGGGATAATGGAAAATAAAATGGAAACTACTGTTTAGGGTTGGGCGGGCAATTGCTCTGGCTACCAGAACAGGTCCACACCGCTGGTACTGCGCTTCAGGGAGCAGGGCCGCAGGATTGGCGTTGGGGGACTCGGTGTTTCCATTATGTGAATCCTGTTCTCTAAATCCCTAGATAAAGGCGTACAGCTTTGGGTAGATTCGGGGCACCACCTGTGTTTTTGGAAACGCTACAATCGGCGCGGAGCGGCATTGCATGACAAATTATGCGCGGGGCCGTGATGGGGGCTTCCTGAAGACTACGTGGCTACGTTTGGTGTTGGGCCGTCTTGCGCAGGAAAGGGCTGAAGGGATGATGAGGCGATTCTACGAAATAAAGTCCGATTATGTCAAAGCTAACAAGAGGATGTTGGTTATCGCAACCAACCACACTAGGACTCTATGAATACCATACGACTCGGTCCTGCTCATTGGAATGGGGTGACCAAAATCGCTTGTCAACCAGCGAGTGGCGTAGGAGCCCATTCCGGGATTTACCCTCCCCTGAAGTAACAAGGAACCCCTTTGTAAAGAGCTGTAATTAGCGTTCATGGGGCTCTGTTCTGAGCCTGTGGTTTGACACGCTTTCTCGAAGGCTCGCAGGCTCAGTGAATTGCTCCAAATAGGGGACTATGGGTTAACGTAGGGATGCATTCCGCTACTCCCACAAAGCCTACGGCTCCGAGCGGCAAAACTGTGTCCTGTCTGCTCCTTGAACAACGTGGGCATTGGTAAGAACCTGGCTGCAACCCCCTCACTTCTTCGTACGCTACATGACTGTGTCAGCTCTCCTGTTGCAGTGCGTCTTTTTGATTCTTCTGCCACTGCCTGACCCCAAACTTCCGCTTCGGCAGATGCTGGGGAAGGAAGCCAGGATGTCCAACACCCAAGCCTGTAAGTCTAACTGACGAATTGGACTGGTTGAACTGGGTGTTTGAATAGATTTCTGGCTTCCCATCCCAGGTGCAACCACTTGGTGCGTGACAGCAGAGGAGGGTATGCATACTGAATACTGCCTGTATCTAGCAAAATCCCAGGATCCGTTCCCCCCTACCCAATAGGAACAACCGAGAGGTCAACGCAGCCCGGGTATGAGGCCTGAATAATTCGACTTTGGAGCGGCTTCAGCAATAAATATCACAAGATACGCGCAACGTAAAAGAATGATGTGCCCTTTAGACCTTGAATCCCAAACCCTTGAGAGGCTCTACAGGTTGTTAAGCAGCCTGTGCTGAACCGAAACCCCGCCCGTGTCATTGTGGAGAGGCCTGTGTGGGAGTCAGACTGATAACGCGGAGAAGGATCTTTGGGTCTCAGAGAGCCGCCACCGACATTGTTTGCAAACATGAACTGAAGGCATCTCAGGAATCCAACTTCTCTGCCAGGGAAAATCCCCAAATGAGTCCGTAGGGGCGATCTGTGACTTGATCCGCATGCATCGTTCGATGCTTTTGCGAATTCGCTAGCAAGCACAGATGTCGATTGAACAGCTGCCTTGACCTTGACCTGGTGTACAAGATGCATTGCTTCGAATTCTTCCGTCCAGCTTTCCTTAAACTTTCGTGCAACATCTACAAGTTACTCCTGCAAGAACCCAACCCCAACCCAAAACTTTGGCAACAAAGGAGGGTAGGCGGGCAGTAGCATGGGAGCCGCAACAGGATAAACTGGTTGGAAATGTGTCATACATGCATGCCCGGCCAGGTCTAGCGTCGTGTAGTATAGCATAGTGTCATACATCTAGACTCCCAATATACCTTTCTACATATAATGTCTAAAAGGCACTACTAATCGCTTCCCCCTAAAGAAGAAGCGTCTCCCCCCGCCCCCCCCCCCCTCTCCGAATGAGAACCTCCCCTGGGTTTATTGTTGGGGGGTTGCCTCTCGTACCCTCACAGCAGCGTCAGAATCCAATGATTCCTACAAAAATCCGTTTAGACCGATTTAAACATTCCTGGATCTCTACTCCTCGCTGGGTCCTTGTTGTTTTTACCCCGTAGGCCTGCCCCATTAGAAGTGGACTTCAAGGATTTCAGGTCTCTGTTCGGAGTATCTGTTGTCAGGAGCGGGGCTTAAGGAGAAGCAAGATTACTAGTGATTCTGTGGCCTCCTGTCTTCAAGCAGGGCTAGCACATGTAATGTAAAGAAAGAAAAAGGAAACCTGGATAGGGACTATACTTGTTATACCCGGCAGCAGGATTCAAGGGTCCTCCTAAGAAGCTAAGGGACATTCTGGGCCGAAGACTCTAAACGCCTAAGACCTACTCACTTAAGCCCTTTAACCACAGGGAAATTTTGGGCCTAAAGCTCAAAATCTAGGGAAGCTCTTCGGCTGGGACTACCTTGCTACTGTGGCCCTTGAGCCCCTTGGGCTTCTCCGGGCCCTGGAGCTCACGACGCTCCCAACTTCGGACCTGCGCAAGCTGAAGAAAAATGAAAGTATTCAAGCCCGGCACCTTCGCATGATTGAATATTCTCTCTGTGGTGTACTATAATATGTGGGGGAAAACTTGAGCGTGGGGCTTAGGGCGGAAGGTAGGTGTTTCAAAGCAATGGTTTTGCCACCCATACCCACGAAAGCATGAGGATCCTGAAGGTCTTGGAGCTTCCAAAAGATCCGTCACGTTGAGCGGCCTCCTTATGTGGTCGGTGCAATATGCCTTTTTCTGCACATCAGTCTTTCACCACCCTTTCGCAGGCCTTGTGCCGCTTTTGGCCCAGACCATAAACCTTAAAAATCTGCCAGCTGATTCTGGACTATCGACCAGCAAAGTCAGGAACTATTAAGATGGTGCAAGATTCCCACGTTAACAGTTTCATTTCTCTAGATAGGGTTCTTGATCGACCGCATGCAGGAAGATGAACAATAACTGTACGCATGGTACTCCAGCGTGGTCCAGACGTAACTGCGGCATCCTCTAGTTCCCTTTTGAGCATGAGAGTTGCTTGAAGGACCTGGAATTGGGTGAACCCTCTAGAAAGGGCTTCGGAGAAAGCTTGGTGGGCCTGGATCCTCAAGCGGATTTCCAAGAAGCCCTGAATCCAGACCAAATCAATCGGTGCTGAAGTGTCCTGTTCGCGCAGAGATATACGAGCAGGACCCACCAATTCGAAGTTGCCATGTGGGCACGCAATGCTGTTTCTGGTTTCCGCGGGCAGGCATAATGCTAGCCAGTATCAGGCTTACTTCCTGGTGAAAAGCAAGCAACAAGTGAATATAAACCCTATATGAATCCTATATAATATATTCCCTTGTTCCCTACTATAACCCCAATATATGCCCTACTGTAATGTAGTCTCCATTTTCTTTTCCATTATTCCTGTTGTAATAGTTTCCCTTATTGCCTACTAACACTCAGCAATCTTATCACCAGACGTGACCCATAGTCTTACCGTTGGT